GTAAAATATGTCAAAAATATTTTTACATTCAAAAGGTATTGGATACTGGTATTATTGATCATTTGTTCTTTAATTCAAGTGAAATTGGATTTCTGCTCTGAGACTTTTATTTATAAATGAATGGCACAGCACCTCTGGAAAGAATTTTGACCCTTTGACTTTCGGTTGGTATGCAGCCAGGAAGAATATTAGATCCTACAAGCTATGAACTACTGCTCTCAGCTGATGAGCAGAGATACTTACTCTTGTTTATATGTGATGGACTTCACAGGTCCCTTTGTGTGAAGCTTCTTTAGGCATCTGGACTAATGAGAATGACTTCTTAAAATCTGACCCAAGAAAAGATTTTATCTGGATGAGATTGGAAGCTTCCATTCACAGAGTTTACAGTTTTCTAGTCTTCAGCTGATGTGGAAGTACTGACTCTAACAGCTCCAGGACAGAAACAACTACCCTATAAATCACTTACATGACGAGGTTAGGTCTTTGGTGCCACTGAATTCCTCTTCCTTGAAGGTTCCCAAGTTACCGAGTATGACTAGCTAGCTCTCATTTTATTTGTCCTAAAGTAACTCTCATGTCTTTCAAGGTGATTGAGTTTTAAATAAATGCTTAGACTCTGGCATATGATATGTAGGTTACTTTGTAAGGACCATAAACTTCTAGGGGGGAAAATGCTGTTTTCATTAATATGCTTAGCGTTTGTGCTTGTAAGTTCTTGAAGAGTAGGCTGAGTGATTTTTGAGGGCTTGTGGCTTGTGGGTATTCTCTCAAAATGTGTCCTTGGTGGATCAAGTGTCAAAGCAATCTCTAGCTTCTCTAGTGCAATCTGTGTACTGTGGTCCTTTTTGCCCTGCAAGCCATGCGCCTCGTGTCCTTTGGCATGCCCTTAGCTCTGTCAAACATTTTATCGTTCCTAGGTTATAGTTCCTGTGTGCAAACTCGTTCATCAGTTTGAAGTGATTTCACAAGTTTTTTTCCCCACCCAGGATAGACATGGTAGATGTTTTTCCCCTCTTAATGGAGGCACTGGGGATTGAACCAGGACCTCGCGCTCACGCAGCACATGCTCTGCTGCTGAGCTCTATCCCTCCACCCCACAGGTGGTAGATTTTAAAATGGGTCAGTGTTTGAATCTTTATATGTTCTTGTCTTATGTGCATCATAGAGGAACTTTACAGTCACTTCTTGAAGATTTTTTTCCACCAAATCTTCTTTTTTATATTTTGGCTGACATAATTTACCTACTTTGATTATTTAATCTGAAAATACTGATAAACTGTAAAAGTCACTCAAAATCCTACTACATAATGTGGGATTATGTAAATCTATGCATCAATCACCTGCCTCAAAGATAATTACTATCGATTTGATGGATGTCCTTCTTGAATTCTTCCCAAATTAATATTATATAAATAAATATAATATTTGTATTTTTAATATGACATTTATATGCAATTTAACATTATATATGGCCATCTTTAACATTATGTATGACTAGTATATCTGTGTATACGCACACATCATAAAAAGAAACTGTATCATACATATCTGTTTTCAAATTAATTGGTTTCTGCTCAGGAGTATATACTGAACATCTTTGTGATTCAATGCATACACGTTTATCTAATTCTTTTTAAATGATTGCATAGAGTTTGGTTGTATTTGTATACTATGTATTTTCAACTAGCCCATTCTTGACATATTCTTATTTATATTTCTTTCCTATTCAACCAGTGTTGCAACAAATATACGTGAACATGTATTTTGAAGCACTAATACTATTATATCTGTAGGATAGATTTTTAGAAGTGAATTGTTAGATTTAAGGATATGTATTTTTTAATTTAAATAAAAATTGACTAATTGATGTTTATGAATATTTTATAAAGGAAACATTATACTGTGCTATTTCTTATTGTTTTTATATTTCCTATAGGAAAGCATTGGAAACCATTACTTAACCAACTGGTTAAGGGGGTATTGTTGTATGTACCTATATATGTGTGTATATTCGTGCAAAGTCTACCCTAAAATAAATTCAGTCAGCAACAAAGAGATGGATCTTTGAGATTATACAGATACGGCCTTTGAATGATGTAGAAACTGAATATTTTAGTTATGTAGCTATAAAATCCCTGAACAGGAAAAATGCTAGTAATCGTTTGATGTTAACAGGGCTTCACCAACACACTAAGACCACTATTTCATTTCTTTGATAACCAACCTTGAAAACCTTGACCTCAACAGTCAACAGCATTTTGTTTGTATTTGTTGTTCACAGTGAATAGAGGAAATAACCTATCTGTAAATTTAAACTACAGAGTGCTTCTCCTTTGATCTTTTTGCTCTTAGAGGCAAAATTCTGTCTAGCCCAGAGCATCCAAATACTTGGCTCAGTTTTTTGCATCACATAGAATCACACTCTATAACTTCATGAAGTGTCATGAAAACGGGTGATATTCTATTACAGAAAAAACCTCACACAACTCTTTATAACATTTGGTTTGGTACCAAGGGAGATCTCCAGGGCTGAAACTGTCTAAGACGATTAATAGAAAGTCTCTCCAGGTTCACACCCTCCCTTATTGTAAGTATTTTCTTATCCCAGAAGAGAAATGATGCAGAATGTAAATAATATGTTTCAAGGTCAGATAGCAGAAATCCAACCAGAATGACTTTTATATTACATAACAGAGCAGTGA